GTGTGTAGTCGATCCGCGTTTTCAGCTGTGTATGTAATTTTCAAACGCGCATCGATGCATGACTTGCTGCTGTCAGGGAAAATAACTTAGGATTAATTACATTGACATGGAGGTACCTGTCACGGTTGCTATTGCGATAGACTTGCGAGGCATTTATAAGACTTATGAATATTGGTCGAACATAGCTCAAATTTTTGAAAATTGGCCGGTAGGTTTTGGCCATTTTCACTATCATCCCGCACTGATATCGATTTTGTTCATCTCAAGACTCCTGCGTATGGCATAAGTTGAAGGATGGGGATTGAACTACCCTACGTTGCTCGTGCAATTCCGGATTCTATTTTGGTTGTTTTCGTAATGACATGTCATAAAGTTTCGTTTTGCCCAAACATAGTCGACAGTATGTCTCTCTCAATGACTCTACGACCCCTAAGGTAATGGAGCGTGACCAAAGCGCAACAAGGGGAGGCGGCGGGTTTAAACAGCGTAGCATCACGTGCAGGTGTTTCGAATCATGCTTAAGTATTTCATCTTAACTCTTTCAAATCTTTCAAAACCTTGAGACCGGATACTGTTGGTTTTTCTTTCAGGGACAAGTCCGTTTTTTTGCCCATCCGTCTCAGCAGCCTTGTGAGTGTTGCCAGATGGGACGCTATGCAGAAACGCTGCGTAAACAGGGAGAGGGGAACGGAGGATGAACAAAAAATGCGTAACCGTAATTGATAGATCTCTGAAATGTAATGCCATGTCTATGCTGGTGCGGTTGTGCGCGCGGCTCTGATGGATTTGACGTGACATCAGCGTGATCCTTCTCCTACCCAGGTAATCGCGGTCGTGGGTAAGTGGTTTGCCGCGCCCAAAGCCATGTAAGGGCACAGATGTCTGGGAAACTGGTCCCGGAATCCACTCCCGAACCAAATCATCATATCACGACCCACCCAGACAACGCTTGGTAGCGGCTATTATCTTGGTGAGAGCAGTCGATGCGTGTACGTTATCAATGTTGTCCTGTGCTAGGGGAGAGCGGAAGGCCGTGTTTGACCAATTGCCAATCTCAACTGTCATGCAGACAAGTATGCATGACAAGTATGACTGCCCTCCCGCTGCGCCCCGCACACCGCTTCATGCCCGAGCACAGACTACTCGGGCATGAAATGTGTGAGTAATGATCATGAGTGTTGTGCCAGCCGAGATGCAATCTCGGCTTTAGCTCTGAACGGGATTTTCGCTTGCCTTCAGGCAGACACAGCACCTGGGCCTAATTACGCCACACGGAGCTTCGACCCTGAGTTCTTTTGACGAACGTTTTCATGACTAAGGGATATCGGAAGCAAAAAGTAGCATGAATACGCGTGCGATGAAGATGGCGATGCTCCTTTAGTTATGTTCAAAAGGACCGAAAGTGTTGCAATTTTGCGAAGAAAAGAATTTCCTGGTTGTACAGTGCAGCACATACGCGATATTTTAGCCAATTATCGACTGTCCACGGCGGTTCGCAGCCCGGCCATTGGCCGTTTCTGTGCCATCTTGATCACGGGACGTTACGTTGTCGTCGTAGTCCTGCGCGGCCCAGTATTTTCCACGTCGACAAAATGCATCCAATGACTCGGCGGTCTATGAGAACGATCAACTGCAATGCAGGTCCACTCGGTCCGCCCGGGGCTTCTTTCTGACATTTGCCCCAAGTTCACATCGGTCTGCGCCGATACTCCTCTAGTCGAGGAGTCAGCCTCAAACAGCTGAAGGACAGCGATTGTCATTTTGCAGCAGCTGTCCACTGCCTGCCGAAATGATTGTCCGAAGAAAGCCATAGGTCCTTTGCCCTCGTTAAGCATCATGTGTACCCAGTCACGGGTCGTCTGCTGATCGCCCAATCAAATTTTGATGTCGGCGTGGTTGGAGTCATTTGGTTGGCATCCAGAGATGGGAGACAGTCCTGACAATAATCGTTTGTCGTCATATAATTTGTTGTGGTTGAGGAGCTAGTGTGCCGCAACCATTAATGCGCCAAGCTAACCATGTGACCCGCCCATTCCAGGCATTCATGACTGTCTGCGCATCCGGATTCCGGCGTCCATTCCTGATGCCGACTCCGGGCGCAATCGAATGTTCGTGTCGGCGCGAGACGATGGACAGCCATTTAAAATAGTCGTATCTCGCGTTAGGAAATCCTAAGCGTTAGGAAAGTCACCTGCCCAACCAAAGAAGCAACAAAGTCCTCGTTGCGCCAAAAAGACGGTTTTTGGAGCTTGAGCGTTGGTTCGCTAAAGAATATCTGATTCTGGACCCCATATGTCCAGCAAAAGCCAGCTTTAATGCTAATAAGCCCCCTTCTGCTGTGACTAGACAGTGGCAGGCACCCGTATATTGCTCAATACCGCAACAGGTCCGGAAGTCAGGGCCAAACGCGAACTGCGTGTGTCACGCATCGGTAATAGTGACGGCTCCTCTGCCCCTGCCCCGCCCCGCGCTTTCGCCGCCGCCGCCGCCGACGGCTCCCGTCCTTCGTCTGCCGGGCAGGCGGCCAGCGGCCTTGCTCGGCCCGGCGGCGCGCGGGCCGGCCCCGTCGAGCGGCGGAACGAGGCTCGACGGCCGCCGCAGTCGGCACTGGCCGGCGCCACTGACCCAGTTGGCGGTGCGGACTGCGGTGGCGATGGTTCTCTCTTGATGCGTGACTCGCCTCCAGATCGTGGCGCGTGACATTGGGGAGCGGATCACAGTGTCACGTCATTTCGCGTCTCTCGTCGCCTCGCTCCTGCTGCTTTAGCCGGAGCGCACGATTAGCCCCGGTTCCTGTTGATGGATGGAGGGGAGGCGGGAGCGCTCTGGGTGGTGGTCCGAATCGCTCGAGGCGGTGCGTTCGGTTGCAGCAGTAGCCTTCCGAGTCTTGTGCCCTGCCATCCAGCAGGCACTAATGGACAGTTGCTCGCTCTGAACTCATGAGGCCTTAAAAGGGGTGACGATAGTGCAGTGGTTGGGCAGCGCGTCTGGGAAACTAGAGGCACGGGGCTCGATTCTCCACAGTGCTCGCTCCTCCTGCCAGGCTGAGAGGCGGGTGGCATGATAGCATCAGCAGCTGAGTGCGTCGTAAAGTTACAGTGACAACGAAATATAAAAGTCCGATTCAATCCGCCGGGCCAGCTATTGACAGGACATATATAAATAAATCCCTGGTCTCCTTACAGCGCCGGCTGAGCGAACATGCTTTTAAGGAGATGTCTACTGTCGGAGAGGGGGATTTCCGCATAAAAATGGGATCGTCCTGACATTTTTCTGACATTTATCTCCATCTGATGCTGCGTTAATGTGTGCTGCTCTGAACCTCCAGCCAACAGAAACTGGTATTGTAAGCTTAATGGTGGACTACCACACACTAGAGCAATCGGCCAATATGGCTGCTTCAAGTGAGCTTCTGGTGGCCTCCACTGGCTTTTGCAGGGGAAATTTATTGACCGGTGCAGCTCCTAATCTGCTCGGCGAACAGAAAGCGGAGTTTCCGCATCAGCCGGTGCAAGCCGATGCCCGGAGGGATGGGTGGGCCATCGCACACGTTCTGATCAGTACCGATTACATGCAGGACGCTCTGTGCGGGCGCCTCGTCTCGGGGCTTCATGGGGCTGGGCCGGCGTTTTTCTTGTACGCCACCAATCCTGGTCATCACGCGATTTACCCCCGTGCGGAGTTGCCTCACCACACTCAAAGCTTGAAAGGTGCTCGTTACTGGTCGTTGGTCAGCTTCCTTTAAGCTATTCAGAGAGCAGAGGCAGGAAGCGAAGGGTCAGTTTCAGGTGTGAATATTTGCCGACTGACTGGAGTCCATATGGGAAACCCTATTGTATGATGGCTAATGGGGCTGCTGACTCACGGGGCGCGGATCAGATTAATGGACTTTCGCTTTCATGCGTTCAGCCCAGCTGCCAAACCGAAATCAGTGCCCGCCTCGTCTCCCAAAGCCGATCGCAAGCCATTCGCCGATAAGTGAATTTGGCCTCCCGCCATTCAGTTCGCCGACCACATCAGAGACATGTGGCACACACCGTCCCCCACCCCCTCTCTCACGGAAATGCGCAGAAATGTCTCTGCTTTAGTTGATCATGTATTACGATGTGGATGATATATTGGGTGACTACACCGATATGCTGGCAGGCATTCACACGACCACGGGATCGGAGCGGTAACTGGCGTATATCACGGCGATACTGGCAACTACCGTGCGTGAACGCGTCTTAGCAACAGCGGAGACGGGAGAGGACATATAACAGGCGCAGAGAGGAAGCATGCGGCGTTTGTGTCGTAGTTGAGCGTGACTTGAAGCACCTATTGCTATAAGCTTGCCAGACTTTTCTATGGAACACAGACCCTTAAAGATATCGACAATGTAGCTAAAAAAGTCGACGTTGTCATCAGGACTCCGGCCTCTGCGCGAAAGCTGTTAGAGGCTATACAAGCTGAAGAATGCTTAACAAGATATGTACCATCAGCTCTCCGAATCTGTCGTTCCAGGTCCGGGACCGAGCCAAGAAGTTCACCCCAGATGGTCGGATGCCTGCACAGGGTCTCAAATTTTGTCCACTGTGACCAATGCGCTGAATAATGACATCAGTGGTTCTCTCCCTTCGACATCCGTCTACTATGCGTAGAGTCGTGCCTACGTCTATCTGACACGGGTGCAATTAGTGCTCAGACCTAGCTGATCTAAAACGCATCGATACTAGATCCACTTGTCCTTCTTTCGCTGGATGTTCAAGGGAATTCATATTTCAAACGTCTTTCGTAAAGGAGCCGCATCGCTGTGGGTGCCGGCAGCAAAATCGCATTTCAACCATCTGCCAAACGACAGGAAACTGCGCTGTAGGTGCGCACCCACCAGCGCTGCGGCGCATTGGCTTTCTAGCACGCCACAGATGGCACTGAGCTGGCACTGGAACCTCACACCATCCCGAGCCCATCATACTGAAGTCGTCACGGACCATCGACCGCCGCCACGCCCCCACTCACAGGCGTCACTGCCCACCACTTCGCCACGGTCGGATGCCGTGGGCGGCGGTCCGACCTGACCCGGGCGTCGCCGGCGGCGTTCAGAGCCGCAGGAACTGCTCCAGCGCCGCCTCCAGCAGGCGGCGGTCGACGTTACTGTCGGCGGCGTACTTGACGCCGCGCACCTGGCCGCCGCCGCGCACCTCGCCGTACTCGCCCACTATGAAGCCGGCCTCCAGCGTCTCCTGGTGCACGATGGTGGGCAGCGGCGGCCTGCCGTCGGCCACGCGGCGCGCCTGCGGCGCTGCCGGCGCCGTCGCCGCCGCCGGCCGGCGCGTGCCCCCGGCGCCACCGGCACGAACGGGTGCCGGTACGGCTCGGCGGTGGTTGTCGGCGGAGTGGGGATGAACGGGTGTCGGTACGGCTGACTGGTGGTGCTCGGCGGAGTCGGCACGAACGGGTGCCGGTACGGCTCGGCGGTGGTCGTCGGCGGCGTCGGGATGAACGGGTGACGGTAGGCGGGCTCCGCAGCCGGCCGCGGCGCCTCCAGTCCGAGCGTGGCGCCTCTCCTGGCGCTGCAGGAGCGCCAGCTCCCGGCGCACCTGGTCGGCCAGCCGGTCGCCCAGGCTGGGCGCGTTGCGCCCCCTGCCGGTGGCGGTGAGGGCCACGCGGCGCCGGTACGGCCGGCGCACGATCGGCGGCACGAAGAACTGCGGATTGTCTCGCGGCTGCGAGTCCAGGGCTGCCACGCGCAGCTGGTAGGCGACCACCTTGTCGCTGCCGGACGCCTTCTGCTCAAAGTCGATTTCAGTCTCTTTCAATTTGCGCATGGAGACTTCATTTGCCTTCTCTAACAATGCATCGGTCCTGTGAGGAGAGAGCTTAGAAAAGTCTTGCCTCTTTGTGGTCGCTCTGCGAGCTGTTAGCGGCGTTTCTGTCGTAGTAGTCGTAATTATCGTTGCAGTGGTCGTTGGAGAAGGTGTGGTGGACGTGGTTGTTATCGTTGTAGTTGTTGTTGCGGTTGTCGTTGTAGTTGGTGTGGTTGTTGTGGTTGTTGTAGACGAGCTTGTGTGGGAATTTCTGAGGCTAGCTTCCTCGGACACCAGAACAGATAAAGCTAGATGTGTCTTGCCGTTCTCGTCGCCATGCTTCAGGTCTCCCAGAGCATCGGTCGCCCCCGCCGCGGACGACTGAGTTTCAGCAGAGGGCTTCGACTCTGTTGGGGCTGACATCGACCCGGCAAAGGATCTCAACTTTCCCGCGGCTGACTGCGTCCCAGCGACCAGTCTTGGCTCTGTTGGGACTGAAGCCGTCCCGGCAGAGGGTCTCAACTTTGCCGCGGCTGACTGCGTCCCAGCGGCCAGTTTTGACTCAGCCGGAGCCGCGACAACTCCGCCAGAAGTTCTCAACTCTGCCGGAGGAACCCCTTCCAACTCCTCTGGTGGATCGCCATCGAAGACGTCGGGTCCGTAGTCGTCGTACTCGTACTCGTACTCGTATACATAGTAGTGGTGGTCGGACGGCGCCCAGGTGGAAGACGGCTCCGGCGGCTGCTCGGTGGCGCCCAGCCGGTCAGCGATCAGCTGGTGCAGCACGCGAGCGCGGCGCGGCCCGAGTGGGGCGGCGGAGGCGGCGGCGGAGCGGGCCAGTGTGGCGCCCGAGCAGCCGCCAACCAGCAGCACCGCCAGCAGCCCGCTAACCTGCCGGGACAGAGAGGGGGCGCCCCGTCATCGGGAGGCACGGACCGAGGAAACACTCCCTGGCGCCCTGGGTGGAAGCGCTAATAAAAACGTACAGTCCATTTGGTCGGCATGGGCTCGTGCAGTCATCCACAGCCGTTGCCCTCGACTACAATGCCTCAAGCAGGAAAAAACGGCGCTTGCCCAGCAAAATATGCATGCAAAGTTAAACAATAATGTTGGATTTCAAGCTTCAAAATCCCAATCTGTTCCAAAACATAAGGTGGCAGAATCTCAGCACTTTTTCCAGCCGCGTCACTCCGCGTCCATAATTTTTCTCAAACACGTCATCTGCAGAGCACTAGTCCTAGCACTGTAAAAAGCAAAGCCGGCGCCGTTGTGCAAAAGGTATGACGCATGCGACAATAACTATGTGGAGAGTGAGTTGCAAACGTGTGGTGTCTGCGCCTGTTCACCGATGGATGTATCACATATACGCATTACCATCACCAACGTGGCAATTACGAGCTCTCCCTTCGCACGGGAAATATAATCTTCTCGTTAATGATGGGAATGTGAAACTTGTGATTAACAGGCCATAATCGGCATTGTGGTAGGCAACGTAGTAATTATTTTACTATCTCTATGACAGTTGACACAATGACAGGATGCGTAATTGTATTACGTGTATGATTACTTCTGTGATTAAATAAAATATGTTCTACCGAGCCTCAGGCACCTAAGTCGACATTGCTTTCAGCTCTGTGTAATATAAATCTTACGACGGAAGCGATCGTTGTGATCAGCTTCGACAGCTTTATGATTTGCGTGCTCCGGGATGAAGCTGCAGACATGCAAGGGTAGAAAAGGCATCATTCATATCACAGTGAGCGCGGATAATCGTTTGGCGAGCCATCACATACAGTACAGCACAGCCGGTAAGCGTCTTCACGTCTTCCGTCGTGTGCCAGTACAGGTGCGGTCTGCCGTTGAAGTTGAACAACGTCATCGCGGCGAGGAAGAGTGAGCGGATGCATCCTTTCACTCCACTCCCTTCCCCCTCCATCGGGATGCAGAGGAAGTGTGAAAACAGGTAAACCCGGGGCGCGTGCCGCGCGCTTCACACCAACTGTCGCGCGTCATTTGAAAAGGTGCCCCGGCCTGTTCAAAACGGTTCACAGCCAAGCGTTAGCGCACACGTTTTCCGTGGCCTGTTTCCGGAGTTTCAGAGCACGCTGTCTTCAGCGGAACTGGCTCGGACGGGGAGGGGGAGGGGAGGGGGGAGGGCATCTCCTGGCAGGTTCACGACTTTTTCTGGGACTACTGAGATAATCTCTCCATCGTCCCATTTATAATTTGGATGCCTGATTTAACCTCAGCCAGGGTACACAATTGTAATCCAGGCAGCACCGCTGAAGATAACGCTGCCTTAACCATAAATCTTCGTCGCCGTCTCTGTCCACACGTGTAGACAGAGATGGCTGGTGATTGGACATTCACGGAACTATAGTCGTAGCACTCTAATTCGATTAAGTGAACGTAATTTGTTTGACGTTTGCGGACAAGCGTATCACCAGGCGATATTTCTTGAAGAAAACAAGTTAATTTTAATTATTGGGCCGCATAGTTTTTGGGATGGAAGCGAGCTTTGCCATGGTCTGGAATCCAGACACTGGTATGCAGATGCAGACCAAAGGACCATGGACCAGTGGTAGATCCAGGCTGTGGATTCAGGCTCTGGACCTGAGCTGAATTCGTTTTAAAATGCCGTAATTTCTTCCAATTCTTGCACCATCCATTGTCTTGTCGGCCATTAGTCTGTTTTTCTTTTTCATTACAATGCACTACAAGGTTTTGTTCCCCAATGAGAAAATCGGGCGCTAAGAACACTATGGTGTGCTACGGTTTACAACGTTTGCTGTATTACCATTGGCGTGCCGTTTCCAGCCATGAGTGTTGCACGGAGTGCACGTCGATAGACGGTGAAACTGGGATTCCAGTGCGATCTCACTTACAAAACGTCCGTGCATCCGAGGCAGATACCCCTCATGTCATGCAGGCTAGGTTTCAATCACCCATCAGCAAGGTCGAGTTGGGGCAAGCCCTGTCTCCCATGAAAAGCTACCAACTAATACTTTCGTGGGTGTAATGAAACCCTTGACCTGCAATGTGCGCCAGCCTGCCCGTTATGAGCATGCGGAGCATGGGAGCGGCGGTGAGCGGTAGCCATCGCAGATGGACAGATGGAGGCAAAGGGACGGGGACAGAGAAGGGCAGATAGCTGGGGGTTCTGAGAAGGCGCTCCCCCTCCTTTGTTCGGCTACAGAACTCCTGGCCGGTAGCGTTTTTGTGACAGCGTTTTACAGCGGCTGTACAGCCGCAGTTGGGCCGAGCAGTGTCATTACAAAGGCGGCGGCGTGGCGGCGCCACTCTTTGTACATGGGGTCCGACGCCACGGCAGACCTTGACTGGCAGCGCGTCTTTCCCATGACCTGGCGTCGGCCGTTCCCTGGCCTGACGCGGCACGAGGACGGGCACCGGGGCAGCGCCCGTCCTCGCACGGAGCGCGGGGCGCCGCCGCCGGGCCGGACGCGGCGGCGCGGGGCGCCCGTGCCGTGCCGGCCGCGGCCGGGGCGGGCCAGGGTCAGGCGTGGCCCTTCCCCCGCCCGCGGCCAGTGGCGGTCCCTCACCCGCGCCGCCCGTCTTCGCCGCCCGCCGCCCGCCGCCCGCCGCCCGCCTGACTGGTTTGGGCGTGGGCCGCAGGCCCCTAGCGGCGCCACCCCCGATCGGCTTCGGCGATTGGTGCCGCCAGGAGACTGGCGGCGACGGCTGGTGCCGTCAACAGCCCGACCACGAGCGTAGCTCGGGCCAGACCATGTCTCCCGTGCCTCCAAGACCGTGTGGGAAGAGGGCGGACACACCAAGGCAACAGTGCGTGTCCTCGCGAGCCCTGAGGTGCCGCCAGCCAGATTCGTCAGGGATGGCCCACGCGGGCCACGCCACGGACCCCATTTCCGCTAATCTGGCAAGGCCAGTCGTGCCGATGCCCGATTAACAGCGGCAGTCCAACAGACAACGTCGCCCGACAGGTCAACGGCCACTGACGGCTGTTCGTCACGTACTTCACACAGCTGACGGCAACAGCCGCAGACGGAGCCCAGGCCAGCGACGGGCAAGGCCGCCGGCCAACTGATGCTTTTTACGGCAGGTACAAAAAATAGTTCTGGCTGAAAGCGACTGGGCCGGCTGTAGCGTTCTTTACATGCCTTTATCTGGTTTCGGTTTGATTGGCAGGCATACTTTTAACGCGTCGGTTCGTCCTGTTTCGGAAGCAGTCACAAACAGGAAACGAAATAATGTGATTGCTTCAGTTTATTCGAAAGAGTTAGAAGACCTGTCTT